TTTTTTTTTTTATGAATAAATCCTTTTTGGTGGTGGAATACCTGGTGAATTCTGTTTTCCAGTTGACACTAGGTTGGATCATCTATTCCACATTTTGTTCTTTAGTTCTTCCAATATTTTTATAACCAGGTCCCCGTATTAGATTCCTTCAGACTTCAGTGCTGTTTTCCAGACCCGACTTTAATCAATATATGTCTGCACTAATATCTAAATAGATCAGAATATATTGAAACGTGTATATACATTTTACCAAAAAAATTGGTTCAGTAATTATTTGTTGAATGAGCGAATATATGTGTGAATGTGTTACTTGAAAACTGGGGATGGGGTTATTTTAATCATTCAAAGTTAAACTTACAAATTCTTATTAAAATTTAGTGTAACTATATGTTGACAATGAAGTTTTAGTAAAAGCAATTATAACTGGTGTGAATAAGTTTAAATAGTACTATAGTATTAAAATGGTAACATAGTCGGAAATTCAGAAATGAAGTCTAGAGGCAATGATTGCAATCACTATTAAAGCAAGTAGCTTTTGAATCTTTTTCAATTTGACTCACAACAGGGAATATATTTTATATTGAAACTGAGCACAATCATATATGCATGAGATGCCTGCTGTATTTTCTATTCATTTTCTTCTATTATATCTTATCCAATGTGACACACAGTTTGAAAAAGATGGATCTAGACATGTTACAGGAACCACGATAGTATGAAAATGTATCTAAAGGATTAAGGCATAATTAATCCTTTGTTCACTTTTTGTCTTCCTCTTCAGTGGTTATCTCTTGTTTCTGTTAGCTCAGAATGTATTCACCCACTTTCTAGTAATGACAGCATAATTTTTCTCTTGGAAATTATCCCTCTCCTTTTCTTATTCCATCGGGTTCAGGTCAATTTCCTGCCCATCTCTTGTGTCCCCCACCACTCTCCAATTCTACCAGCTTAGAGAGAGGCATATCATTTGGTTCTGGTCAAGCAGCGTAGCCATCTCTCTGACTACAAAGAATTTCTCATTAATTGCCACATAGCTAAGAAAGGTCAATGAAGTCTGTTGCCAAAAACAAGTTCTTGTTTTTCCAGATTGCAAGTTGCTAAGAATCAGACTGTAGATACTGGAAACATCATATGGAGAGAGCTGCCTAGTGGGAAGGGAAGCCAACAAGAAATAAGAGATGGAGGACTGATAACATTTGTGATCTTGGATCCATCACCTTTCCTTATGCACCAGTAAATGTGCCTTTTGAAATTCTATGTAAGAAAAAAGCTACTAAATGATATTTAGTATGTGAAATGACTTAAATTTTATTAAAAATTTACATTTTCAGACCTCTTCATTATCCTAAATTTATGAACACATAGAGCAAAAACAGACAGAA